CCATCCCCCAGCCCCGCTTTGGCCCGCTGTAAAGACCGGGAGGCGGCGGCAGGGCGCTGGTTCGCGGCCGGGGCCCTGCCTCGTTAGGGGAACGTGCCCCCCCCGCGCCGCTTGAGAGCTCTGCCGGGCGTTTAGGGCCGGCCCCGCTCGGCGGCCCCGGCGGCCTCGTTAGGAGCCGGCGTTTGAATCGGGATCTGAAGGCTCAGATCAAAGCGCCCCGCTGACGATTAGTTTCCTGGCTCCGCATCGATCCGCATCGATCCCGCCGAGCCCGCCCGGACCTGGGCGACGGGGCGGGCCCGGGGCTGCGCGCAGCCGGGCTGGAAAGGGGCCGCGCTGCCCCCGCCCCCCGCTTTTAGCCCCGGGTTACAAAACAATGAGAGAAGCCGCCGAGCCCGGCTCATCCCGCCAACGCCGCCGCCAGATCCCGATCGATAATTAATGACAATGAATAATTTACAGCCTCGACGGCGGGGGGGGCGACCCTGCTCGAGTGAAAAATAACTAAACACCCCCGTCCCCTCGCCTGCCCCCCGGGAGCGCCCGGCCTCTGCCCGGGCCCGGCCCTGCGAAGAGCAGCGCGGCAAAGCGCGTGTGTGCGCGCGCGTGTGTGCGCGTGCGTGAGTGTGTTTACTTGTGCGAAGGTGTCTCTAGACAGAGTTGTGCATTTCTATATGTGTGTGTCTGTGTCCACCGTGCGTGTGTATATTTGTGTCCAGGAGAAGGTAGGCTTGGAGCACACCCAGACACGCGCGCGCACACCCAGACACACGCGCGCACACCCAGACAGACACGCACGCACAGAGCTCCGTGTGTGCACAGGCAGGGGTGTGTGTCGATCCGGACGCTGGCGAAGTGCGCGGCCCGCTCTCCTGAAAGACAAACAGAGAAGTCAGAGCTGGGGGGCAACCTGGGTCTGTGCCCCCCCCGCATCCCCCCCCCCGCCGCTCTGTTTGTTAACAGTCTGTGTAACACGAACAGTGACCTCGCAGGCTCGGGGCCCCGCGGGGGGGGGGGAGCTGGTGGCGGGCGGGGGCGCGCTCCCGTCTCTCTTTTTCGGGGGGCGGGTGAGGCTTTGGGCTTGACGCGGAGGGGAGGGGGGGAGACAGCAGGCGGGGGGAGGGGGAATTCCCTGAGCTACTTGTTATAACGTTTCTCCAGGAGGTAGCCGGGAAGTTGAAAGCGTCGGTAACCGAAATCAAAACTAACAAGGAAATGATCCGGCCTCTCATCTGGGCCCGGCTCCTGGGGCCATGCGGCTGGCAGCTTCCTCTTTGATTGTGAAAACGCAGTGCCGCCCCAATCAAACGGAAATTTACTGCAACCCAAGGGGGGCGGGGGGAGCCGAGCCCACGGCTGGCGGGGGGGGGGGGGGCGAGCGGTCTGCGGTCCCCCCACGGCACGGAGCTGTCCC